TGCTGTCCAAGGGGTGCTTAAGGGTCTTCTCCAGCACCGCAGTTCGAAAGCATCAGTTCTTCAGTGCTCAGCCTTCTTTATGATTTTTTGGTAATGTAGGTCTACTAACGAGAAGAGTGGAATTCCTTCTGGGAGGAATGACGTGTCTCTCTCTCGCTTTCTTTTTTTTTTCTTATTCATTTATTTAATTGAAGTATAGTTGATGTACGAACCTTTCTTTCAATGGGGGTTTAGAGTTAGTATCCCCCATCACCCCATCATCACATAGATTGGACAGATCCTTGGCTCAAGGCCGCCTGTAAACAGACTGAGGGGTGGACATGCCTGTCGGCCCCAGATGCCCAAGGCTCGCTTCAGACAGACTGGAGGTGTCGTCCCACAGTCCAGCATCAGGACCAGGATGCCTCTGTGCCAGAATGGAGGTCCCCGTGGCTCCCTGGGAACAGGGTGTGTCACGTGGTGATGTGGGTGCCAAGCTCACCGAGGGAAGAGGGCGTGGGCCCCTAAGTACTCCCAGTGTTTTATGGGGCCGCCCTGGAGGTTGGCCCACAGAGGGACCGGCAGAGAAGAGGAGAAGCATCAAGGGCCACCTGCTTGGAAATGGTCTCTGGTCCACGACCGGAGCTCCAGAGAAAAGGGAGCGAGGCTGAGGAGCTGACTCTGTAATTTTACTCTAAATATTCCTCTGTGGCTAGTGGCTGCCGTCCCGGACAGCACGGGTCTGAAAAGAAGTGTGTGCGTCCTCCCGGGAAGATGTCCTTTCCCACGCTGCACACAGCCCTGGACCAGCCGTGGACTCAGAGGAGAGCTGCTTCCGTGAATAAATAAGAACTGTGGCTATTAATACAACAGCTTAGGGGATCAAAAGAGAGGCCTTAAAAGTGGTTGTAGACAGTTGTTTATTTTCCTCTGAAATATCTGAGACACATCCCCACAGCCTTGTTTATGTGATAAATTTACTCTGTAAAATTTGCTTTATAAACTAAAGGTCAGCTGTGGTCCGGCTCCTCAGAATTAATGAGCTTTGGCCAGACATAGGCTGTTGCATGGTGCCTGCTTAGGGCCATATTGTCTATTAGATTTTTGCTTGTTTATAGTTTTTACATGCAAATTCTGGTTGTAATTACAGCGTTTTTTTCTCTTTTCCTGAGCTCGGGTAGATTTTAGAGAGGGCAGGGTGTGGGTGAGGGTGTGATCTGGTTAGAAATCTCAGTCCAGTTGGTAGAAGCTTTTCGTTCCTTGAAACTCTCAAATGTTTATTATTTTTGTTCTAAGATTCCTGTGCTGTTTTTATATATAAATGACAGAGGCTTTTTCTAGCACTTAAGTCTTCATCACTTGAACTTCTGACCAAGTTCAATCTTAATTATCTGTAAATATGCACCATAATGAGGGGTGTGTTTTTGAGTGGGGCGGTAATTGCATTTCCCTCTTGTAATTTTAATTAAAAATTACCTCTACCGCCCACCTTACCTTTACTTCCAGGCTCTTCTTAACAGACTGGAAAAGCAGCCGTTACTGCTTGTCTGTTCTTTCCTGAGTTCAGGAAACAGCATGGCCCTTTAAAGACAAGGCGAGGATTCCATGGGGCGGCGTATTTTTACAAGCCTTTGAATGATCAGGGAGGGGTGTTTCCCACAGTATAACCTGGGAGGGGAGTGTCAGAGTTTAACCTTGTGATAAAGCGTGTTTCCTCTGCCGTCTGCCTTCCACACTGAAGTTCCCGTTTTTCTCAGCGTGATCGAGCCGAAGCCCTGTGGACAAATTACTCTCTTGGAGGACCAGGAGCTGGAGAGTTGAAGCCTGGTTGAGAGTAGATCTTGGCGGCCACTCCCAGACCTTTCCAGCATGTCTGCTGCCCTGCCTCGACCTTCCCACTGTGGGGTCCAGCCGGTCCCTCACCTTTGGGTGGGCTTTCCCTGAATCCACTTCCCTACCGGCCCAGATCCATGTTCTCACTGGGTCCACATGACCTTCTCCTTCCCTCTGCCCTCTGCCAAGAAGACTTCAGTGGCTGCCCCTTGTCTGTCCTTAGAAGAGAACATTGGGAAGGTAAAAAGAAACAGTAAAATTAGTTTTACTTATATTTTACTTAACCTAGTATGTCCAAAACAGCATCACGTTAAGGTGTGCCATGAGCCACATTTCCATGCTCAGCTGGGCTGGGTAGGTACCCTACGAGGTGGCATCCATCTCGAGGCAGAGCTGGACAGGTAGAAAAGCAGGTCAAGCTCAGTCCTGGACCCCTGGCTGTGGTCACAGTTAATTTGTGTTTATTTCAGGCATTGAGTTGCTAGATTATAAACTCCATGAAGGCAGGGGCGGGTGCTGTTTTGCGCACCATTGTATCTATATAATGTAGCTTATATTCAGCTCGTGGTAGGTGCTCAGTAAATCTTCAGTTCAGTCGCTTAGTCACGCCGACTCTTTGTGACCCCACAGACTGCAGCATGCCAGGCCTCCCTGTCCATCACCAACTCCCGGACCTTGCTCAAACTCATGTTCATTGAGTCGGTGATGCCATCCAACATCTCACTCTCTGTCGTCCCCTTCTCCCACCTTCAATCTTTCCCAGCATCAGGGTCTTTTCCAATGAGTCAGTTCTTAAGCATAGAACTTGGTAGGAGAAGCTGTGAGGAGCACCCAGATGACCCATCCAAAAAGACTTTGAGGAGGAAGAGGTACCTCTAAACCAATCAAACCAAATTCAGTGTGGGAGCTGAGGGTCACGAGAAGGAAGGGAGAGTGTTCTGGGTGGTGGGGGAAGGAAGTATACGGTACTTGGAAGCCAAGAGAAGGTAGGAGGTTAATGGGAGCTTCATTAATTCATTGTAACAGAAGATCAGGGTGCAGGTTCATCGAGCTTTGCCAAAGAGCTGAGAGGTTGTCCTAGGACCTCCTGGGCAGGGAGTGGTCCTTCCAACTCTTGTGAGTTTCTCTTTTCTGTGCAGAATGTTTTCAACCTTCACACCTCCTACCACATAGGAGGGGCTTAATATGAATACTGGCTGACTTACAGTGTTTCCATATAGTCTGACCAAGTTGCTGTTGATGTCTTCTGCTGTCTGTGGGAAGCTTTAGAAAGAGGAGCGGGTTTTATTATTTGAATGCAAGTCAGACTCTTCTAAACACTTTTCTACACAGCGCAGTGGTGAAGAATCCACCTGCCAAGGCAGGAGACACGAGTTCCCTCCCTGGGGGGGAAGATCCACTGGAGGACGGCATGGCAACCCACTCCAGTATTTTTACCTGGAGAATCCCATGGACAGAGGAGCCTGGCAGGCTACAGTCCCTGGGATTGCAAAGAGCTGGATGCGACTGAGCATGCAGGCACAACAGATTCTTTTCTAGTGATTCCAAAGTCTGGACAGGACCAAATTCTCTCGAGACACTAGGTGAGATGTTGAGTAGAACAGATGTATTTTTCAATAGTGGCCCCTTATGTGGGGATTGGGCCTTTCCGGAGCTTTTAACGCCTGTGTTGAACTTGTGTCTTTGTATGTGGGTGCTGTGTTCTCTGACACATCATTGTCCAAGCTTCAGGAAATAGTGTTTCTGACACAGCCCTGAGCAAACCCTGTCTTCTTGCTGGCCCTGGGGACTCTGGGAGTCGGTGCATGCGTGGGCAGTAAAAATTGATGAGATTTTGTGAGAAAGATAGTTCAGTAGTGATTTTCATGGGTTATTTGCTGTTTCCAAATCTCTTTTTATATCTCAAGGGAAAGTCAGGAATGGATTAGAGCTGACCTCCTAGGAAAATAAAAGCTAATTCTCTATAATTATGTTTACTGTCTTATGTTAGTCCCTACCTACTCTTTTCTACAAAATATTGGAAAACATTGCTTTTTTTTATTGCATCCTTTCTTTGTATTTAACCACTCTGTCAAATATCTGGTGCCTTGTGATCATTTTTCTGTGTAAAATTGTCAGCAGCAGTCACATCTGTTTTTAGCATCCAGCAAAAAATAGTCATTGCCACGTTAGAACTAGGACTTACGAAGCAGGTATTGAATAGGGCTTCCCTGGTGGCTCAGGGGTAAAGAATCCACCTGCCAAGCAGGAGATGTGGGCTCAGTCCCTGGGTCAGGAAGATCCCCTGAAGAAGGGAATGGCTACCCACTCCAGTATTCTTGCCTGAAGAATCCTATGGACTGAGGAGCCTGGTGGGCTCGAGTCCATGGGGTCACAATAGTCAGACACAGCTGAGCAACTGAGCTCACGTTGAAAATGGATTCAAGAGGAGATTCAGGAAGGCCAGACGTCCAGAATTTGTCTCTCCAGGGAGAGGTGTGCTCTGTGTAAGATGATCCGTCATTGTACTTTTTTGATCAAACTCAAAATGAGTAACAAGTACTGTTATCGATTATCTACTGTATACCAGACATTAGGCTAGCTACTTCCCTGCAGGTGTGCATTTAGTCTTCACAAAAGCTGTGTGTTTGGTGTTCCTGTCCCGGTTTACAAATGCTTTTTCCCTCCCGTCACAACAAAAAGTGACACCCCTTGCTCCTCTGTAGAGTTTCGTTGGGATAAAGGGACATTTTACTCCTGTGTCTTTTGTAATTAAAACTCCAGGTATGATTAGCCATTGAACAAATTTTATTTGAGCCCTTACTACATGCCAGGCATCGTAACAGCTGAACACACCTATGGTGTGGTGGTTAGTCCAGGCCCTGGCAGGCTGGCACGTCCCGGGGCCTGGCTGGTTCACAGGGATAAACTGAGGGTTGGTGGAAGTAGAGTTGGTCAGGTTGACTCGCTACACTGTGGGAGGCCAGTATCCAGCGGGCAGAGCGATCAGAGACAACTCAGAGCCTTCAGGTGGATGAGGGCATGGAAAGACGGTGGCTTTTAGGGACCACCTGCTTCCCTACCACACTGAGCCCTGGTCCCAGGGAGGTGGCCCCAGACCAGCCTCCCCGTGGCTCTTGTGTGGCTCTTCTCTGTAGCTGTGATCTAAGCTCAAGCACATGTTAATGAGTACATTCTCTGTGTTTTAGGCCTTGGACGTGGACCGGATGGTTCTCTACAAAATGAAGAAATCTGTGAAAGCAATAAATATCTCCGGGCTGGGTGAGTATGCGTTCTTTCCTAGTTTTCTTTGTGGACAATTTTGTATTCTCAGTCCGGATATCATAATGTTAATTACCGTGAGTGACTAATCAACCAGACTGCTTTTTCTGGGTGTACAAATTAGAGAGAAAGGTGAGCTGGGATGTGTCATTCTTAGGAGCGTGTGTGTTTCCTGTCGTCTGAAGTGCAGTTGAGTTTCCCGTGATCGCTCTGTGTGAACAGCTTTGTCAGACTGGTTAGGGGATGGACTCACTTCTGCCTCTGTAGTTTGGTTTCTGCTGTTTGTTAATTACTCCAGATGCCCTTTCCATTTTCTCTCTTACCTGTCTTGTCTGGAAAGAAAATAAATAAAAAAGCATAATCAACTAATTTGATTGTAGTAATATTTAATCTAGACTTCATTATATGTTAAAAATTTAAAAAACCATGGAACTTTTGACCTAAAAATGATGAGCTGCACGTATGTGGCAGGTTTGCTACCTGCACAGGACCTTACAAATGATAGAAAATGTCTTTTAAGTCATTAAGTGACTGTGAAGTTTGACTCAGAAAGAAGATGGCAGCTTTGGGGGACCAGCAGTTGTGAGGAATCCTGAGGAGGTTGGGGCAGGGCTGATGGTGGGCAGAGAGAAGGGCTGGCTGGTGGGAGCAAACACCGCTGCTGAGGGTGGCGGTGCCCCGGGGGTGCCTGTGGGCGGTGGCCTGGGAGGGGAGGGGCCCGGGCTATGCTCCCGGGAGCACCCATTGTGCCCGTCACCCGTTGTGGTCCCTCCCTTCAGGGAAGACGGTGACTGGAGCAGAGGGCAGGGAGTGCTGCTGGTGGTGTGGCGTCAGGAGGAGGGCTGTGAGACCTTCTGGAAGCGCAGGTCCCACGTGACACCCCCATCCCCCAGCTCAAGTGCAGGTGACCCTTGCAGGTCCCATGTGACACCCCCGTCCCCATGTTCAAATGCAGGTGACCCTCACGGGCCCCACGTAACAGCCTCGTCCCCTAGCTCAAACGCAGGTGATCCACGCGGGTCCCATGTAACAGCCCTGTCCCCGAGCTCAAATGCAGGTGACCCTCACGGGTCCCATGTAACAGTCCTATCCCCTAGCTCAAATGTAGGTGATCCTCGCGGGTCCCATGTAACAGCCCCGTCCCTGAGCTCAAATGCAGGTGACCCTTGCACAATGCTGGTTTGAACTGCTCAGGTCCACCTACACGTGGATATTTTTTAGTAGATTCGAATAAGGTCCATGGTTGGTTGAATCTGAGGATATGGAGCAACCATGGGTATAGAGGGCTGGCTATAAATTATACCCTGATTAATCCCCACCTTATTCAAGAGTCACCTGTAAAACAGACTCACAGACTCAGAGAACAAACTTCTGGTTACCAGAGTGGGCAGATGGGGGAAAGAGACAGGAGTTTGGGATGGACATGTACACACTGCCATAAAGACAGTAAAAAAGAGTCCCCTGTCGTGTGAGCACAACTCTATTGGCTGCGCTGTCTCTCCTCCAGTGAGGGTGGTGCAGACCAAGACAGTGAAGAATAGTAGATTTCAGCTGCAAAGATGATACTGCAGTTGAGAATAGCCAAGTATATTTAGGAACAGATTTAACAAAAGATACGTAAGAAACTGACATTGAAAACTACAAAACGCTGCTGACAGAAAGAGGTATATGGTGTGTGTGTGGGGGTTGGAAGACAATATTGTTAAGATGTCATTGCTTCCCAAATTGATGTTACTGTTCTAACAGTCCTAATCAAAACGTCAGCAGGGGAACTGACAAGCTGATTCTAAAATTTAACAAATGCTGCCGAAACAGCCGAATATCTACATGGCAACAAGGGAGCCATGACCCTCTCCCATCCCTTACACAAAATATTAATATGAAATGGATCACAGATTTAAATATAAAAGCTAAACCTAAAAACTTCCTGAAGAACACAGGAGGATATCTTTGCACCCTGGGGTAGGCAAAAGTTTCTTGGGTAGGGCAAAGAAAGCTATAAACAAAGAAGAAAAAGAATGGATAGACTTCATCAAAATGAAAATCTAACTTACTCAGATAGTATCAAGAATAGCCTAACAGTTGAAGAGAAGCTGAAAAACTCATACTTGACGAAACAGATTTAATAAGGCAATCAAAGCAAGACTTTCAGTAAGAATGAATGATTTGGATTCTTCAAGGGGCTAGGGAGGTTATTAAATTATTGAAATGGGCAAGTACTAGTGAAAAAGAACCAGTAAAAGGCTTAGAAGTTTTTGGTTTTTTTAAAATTAATTAATTAATTTATTTTTTCCATTTATTTTTATTAGTTGGAGGCTAATTACTTTACATCATTGCAGTGGTTTTTGTCATACATTGAAATGAATTAGCCATGGATTTACATGTATACCCCATCCCGGTCCCCCCTCCCACTTCCCTCTCCACCCGATCCCTCTGGGTCTTCCCAGTGCACCAGGCCCGAGCACTTGTCTCATGCACCCAACCTGGGCTGGTGATCTGCTTCACCCTAGATAATATACATGTTTTGATGCTGTTCTCTTGAAACATCCCACCCTCGCCTTCTCCCAGAGTCCACAGTCTGTTCTATAAACAACTTGTTGAAATGAAAACTAAAATTTGATAAATGGCAAGCTACACACATAGGGAGACGGAATTAGTGGGGCCCCATGTTATGTGAACACAAGGAGCTGAACAGATGGACACTGTGAAATAAAAATTAAGAGCCAACAAGAATAGATTCAAAGGAGTCAATATTAGCATCCACCTAAAAGGAGCTCCAGAAGAGGGAAAAGAGAGTAGAAAGAGGGGAATTTTTTTTAATTGATAGCTGAAAAAAAGTCCCTGGAACTAAAGAAAGATTTCAGATCTCAGATTTAGAGAGTCCACTAAATTCTCAGGGAAAGCAGTTTTATATAAATGTGTGTATACTAATATCCACATGTACATATATGTATGGGTGGATATGTGTGCATATCTCAAGACTTGTCCTCCTGTCATGACATCAAGGATAAAGAGAAAATTAAAAATTTACCAAGATGGGGAGGAAAGCTTATCCATAGGGAATAATATTTGTTGAGGAAAATAGGCTAAAAATGAATGTTGCAGAGTTTTGACTTTATAGATATTTCTCTTCCCTTTATTTTGCATACTTTATATGTTGTAATTATGTTGATGTTAAGATGATTAGACAGGTGTTAATTGTTTATGACAAGTGCCAAATGAATGTGAAATAAGTTTAGGAAAGCCAAGAAGAGCTGGGAGTTAGGTTCCCCACTGAGCTGGTCCCCCCCACTAAATTGGAAAGCTTTTTGGGCCCGGAGCTTGTGGCATGGGGCTGCTGTGCCCTGGAGCAAGCACTCAGCATCTTTTAGCCCTGGCTTCTTTGTCTCTGAAATAGTGCATTTAGATTCGGATGCGGATCAGTGATTCTCAGCCGGAGTGGTTTGCCACCGTCAACACAACACACACACATTGACAACTGAAGAATGTGTGTGTGTATGTGTTTCATGCATGCACACTCACTCTTGGTACCTAATGTTAGAGGCCAGGGATGCTGCCGAAGGTCTTGTGACACACAGGACAGCTCCCAGCAAAGAATTATTTTTTAAAGTTATTTTATTGAAGGACAGCTGATTAACAATGTTGTGTTAAGTTCTATGCAGCAGAGTGACTCAGGTATACATACATACACGTGCTTTCCCATCAGGGTTTATCACAGGATACTGAGTGTGGTTTTTCCCTGTGCTGTCCAATGGGGCCTTGTTGCTTATCCTCTGCAACTTTTTAAAAACAAGCAACGAAAGAAAAACAAAACCACAACCATGCTTGGCTTGCCAATACGTGGATACTAACTGATTACCTGACAACCCCTGATTTTATGGAAAAAGGAAGTGGCGTTTTCAGTGACTAACACCTAACTGGAAGTAAACATGTTGGGAAATTTTTATTAATTTTTTTTCTCTTTAAAAGTAAACGTCAAAAACAAATGTCTAAAGCTTCCTCCACTTACTAGAGCCCTAACATTTGCTTAAACAAGGGTTTTTCAATATCTAAAAAGGTGGTCACCCCCCAAAAAAGTATTTTTCCTGGTTAAAGTTGGGGGTAGACAAAGAGAATAATGATCGTCTTATGTTTTTGAACGTTTCTGTGTACCTTGGGTGTCCTGTACCTTCATACTCATCTTTGCAACACATGGTCCTCGTTTTACAAAGAGGACGCTGAGGGCAAAGGTTGCAGGTGCTCTCTGGATGCTTCTGGAGCTCAGCCTCCTGCCGGCAGGGCTGTGATCAGTGGCCCCTCTGCTGCAAGGCTGCCACTGTTGACCCTGGCAGGCTGTCTTCCAGACTTCAAGAAACCACTAAGAGATGGATGTCAGTTTCTTTGATAAACAGCAGATTGCAAAAAGTATCTTAAGAGATTTTTTTTAATTGTGTTCACTTATAAACGTTTGAGTTAATCATTTAAAGCTTGTGTAAAAGGGATATTTCATAGTCTGATTAGCTTCAAAAATGAACTTGAAGTCCTGTGTTGAGAACTTGTTCTGATCAAAAGTAACATGAAGTCACGTGCACACATTGTCTGTGTGGCCACTGCCCGCCTTGAGAAAGGATTTCCCGTGGTTCCTGAGGCTGGCCTGGAGCCCGGCAGGGCAGCTTTTCAGCAAACAAGCATTAGGAGGGGAAGGTGTGTGCACTTTGGCGTCCGGAAGCTGCCTGTATGAATTGAACACCACTGGTGGCTGATCCACCTTTCTGACCTGTACTGCGGAACACATACTTTAAACCTCATTTCTGTACCTGCCCCCCAGACTCATTTTCTAAAACACGACTTGGTGATGTCGCTTCTGTGCTCACAACTCTGCAGTGTCTCTTGTTTGTCCACATTGATGTTCGTGAAGTTCCAAAGCTTGAGAGAAATGAGGAAGGACACGCTTCTGTGGACTCCAAAAATTTTAGGGAAATTGGACCAAAGCATGGGTGACAGGTTTCTCTTCCTGCGAA